AAATAATTAACAGGAACTTTTCTGAAATCCTGTATATTTTAAGCATGAGTTTTTCCATGCTGCTGTGGCATTTATGTATGCCATTTCAGTATGAAATGCTTTACTTCCAATGAATAGTGGAAGCTTATCTTGGTATATGTGCCATATAGAAGATGTTTTCCAAACACTAAAGAAGGATGGCTTGTGTATGAAGTCTGAGGATAGGCAAACAAGCTAAAAGAAGAGTAAGGAAATAATATATAGTAAGTCGCGTTGATTTGTGACAAAACTTGTACTATTATCAGAATGAAGGTCTAGATTAGATAAAACCAAATGTTTTAATGGTGTAAAATCCATCTAAGTCTGACTTAGGTTTCTAATTCCAAAATGGGAGTGATGAAACCCCTTGCTCAGCTACTGAAATGAGAGAGGCAGCTTTGGGCCATTATTTTAGTCAGCAGCACTATATGCAAAAATAGATTTCCAAAAGCAATGAGCTTGTCATTTGGAGACATCATTCTGTATGAATATAGAAAAAGACCCATAGGTGCTATCAGTCAGTTAAATAATGCTCTTACTTTTGTTTAAAGACTTGTGACAGAACTTAGTATTTTTGAAGGGATAACACATTACTGCATTTGGCATAGTTTTACTGTGAAGAAAGTAAAACGAATATAGTACTGTACTTTTGGCAATGATGTTTGTAAAATTCCTGAAAGTCTGGAAAAAGTGAATTATGGACAGATGATGCCCAAGTGCAATAATGAAAACAATGAAACCATTCAAATTGTGACATGGATGGTAGAACTGAGATTCCAGTTACAGCCTTCTAGTCCACTTCTATCTTGAAACTTACAGTAAGCTAATAACTGATTTGAAAGAAAGTGGAATCTTTATCTATATGGATTTTTAGCTTGGAAAAAATACTGAGAGCTACTGCTTTGCACAAGCAGCTACAGCACTCCTAGAATGTCCCTAGTAGGAAGAATCTCTTATTACAATGACTATGCTAGTAATCTGAGTTTCCAGACAGTGAAAAAAAACCCTTCCCCCTCACTCCCCCTTAAAATTTGGGTTTGAGGTCAGGAAAAATCTTAGACCCTTCTTCAGCCTGCTCCTCTATCATCAATGCATCTTTGCTGCAGAAAAACTTTATGTAATTTTGCACCCTTGCTATGGGAGTAGTTTATAGCTGTCAAAGCAGGAACCTCTTCAGAGGTTTTTAAATTATAAACAAGCATGTACAAAGGAACTTGGTCTCATGTTTGTGTAAGTAAAGAATACTCACGCAAATGTGAACATATGCATGTATGGTAGCTTTCTGTGCTAACTTGTTACAGGAAAATGTCAGTTTCAGGATTAGATACTTTAGTCTGATTACCTTAATCTGATTTCTGGGTTATGGCTTTTATAAGTGGTTATCTGTTATTAAACTGGCTTAACAAAATCTGTATTTTGCTGTGGCAATGGTGTATCACATTTACCTGAATTCAAAACTGGTTTTGCTAAACTGCAGGGATTTAAAATCCAGTGTTTGTTTTGTAACCAATGGTTTCAGTTGGAGAACATGTCCTACTGCAGGGTAGCAAACTAGTGTCAGTGGCTTTGCAGCAATTGCTTCTGTGTACTGGCTATGTCTGTTAAGTGAGGCACAGTAATAGATAGCAAGTGGTGTTTTTATATACAGAAGTAATTGTTTTCAGAAATAGCAATGATGATATATCTAGTCTTACAAGACAAACCTTTTCTTATTATATTGTACACTGAGAATACAAGTTACTTCGAATCATTTTAAATTGCAGAAAGATAAAGAATATATGGTTGATGGCTTAGAAACTTAAAGGATGATATACATGTATCATTGAAGGGGCTTGACTGGATAAAAGAAAAGCTATAGCAGATCAGACTAGACATCCATCTAGCTGTCCCTGAGAGCAGATGCCTAGGCAGGGATATAGGAGCATAACAGTCATGGGGTGCTACTTCCTAGAATGGTCTCTTGGACTCCACCAATGTGTGGCTTGGGATCTTCTGGGAACCAGAACTTGTCTTTTGAATCTAATAGTCCTTGATAGGAGTTCCTAATCTTGACATTATCCAGGTTTTTTTGATACACATACATTTTTAGTATCTGTGATGTCTTGTGCTGAAGTTTCAGGTTTTTGGCATGTGTCAGTACACCATGATTGCTTTTTGAAGTGTGTTTTATTGAGGTGGTATGTCATCCTTCAGACTTAAGCATTTTCTTAATCAGTTGAGTAGCTTGAACCTTCTTGAAAAGAAAACTGTTCAAAAGTTTGGCTTACTTAGTTGGGTTGGAATTGGCAGTCAGAACAATAGTGACAAAACAAAAAAACAAACAAAAAAACCCCCAAAATGATTAGGTACCTCTCTCACAGGTGAGTATTTAGCCTTGATGCTGCTCTTGTTCTAAGTGTTTCAAAGAATACACATTTTAAGTAATGCATAGTCTGTTACGAGAAGTGAAAGAAATAGAGTGTATTTTTATTTCTAAGCTAATTCTGAAAAAAGTATGTAGTAATTTTTATGTTAGTTTTTTGCTCAACTTGGCTAAGTGTAGTGTTTGGGATCACTGGTAGTCAGTATTGATTCTAAAATTACTTGTAAACATTGTGAATGATACACTACACTGAGTAAATCCTGGTTGGGTAGTCATTTTTGCCATGTTATGTGTGTTAGGAATGTTATGTCATAGATCTGTAAATGATAATTTTATCGGAAAGGAGAGACTCAGTCTTTATGGTTTGTATGTAAAAATGCAAAATACTCAAAATTACCATGTTTGTCTTTGAGCAGGAGATATTTTGAAAAACTTCCAAAATGGCATGTATGTAAAAAGACATATAAAAACAAGGTACTTCAAAAATTTCTGTAGTTCTCATTTCTCATGTTTCAGAATGATCTTAATTGAATAGTACATGCTCTTTGAAACTTTCCAGATAGTTAATATTGAAGTCTTTTTTTGTGGCATATATATGAAGACATGTAATTTTAGGTAATGTTACATGTGAAGGGGACTCAAAGCAGTAGCTCCTGTAACTCTTAAGTGGAATCTTTATGGGATAAAACTAATTGCAACTCTTTTCCTGCAATAAATTTTCATGCTTCCTTAGATTATTATATGTGCATGTTGAAAACCTAATGAGGTTTCTGTCATGAACAGGTGACATTCCTTGTGACACTTGTTCTTTGTTTTCTTTGTGCAAAGAAGTGGAGCATGGGCTGAAAAGTCTCTCTTGCTAGACATGTATTTAAACTGAGATTCTGTGCTTGTTTTTTTAAATATATATTAGATTTCATCCTTGCAGATTCTCTCAGATTCTCTCTTGATGGATTCTCTCTGTCAAGTCACCTGTTTGTCTTTATAATTAAACTTTTTCACTCTGGTGATTCAGAACAGCTGTAAACTCAGTTTGCCAGGCCATTGTTATCTCAGCAAATTGGTGAACTGTTGAGAGAACTGTTAATATTAATTTACCAAAAAAAGTAAGAGAGAAATCTTGATACTGGTTTGCTTACGTTTTATTTTAGATATCGCCTAGGATAAAGTTATTGTATTTTTTTACCAAACAAGAATCAGGCTTTAGGTAAGAGATTGTTTAATGATATTAAAGATCTTTAAAATATCTTGTAACTGCACACATTTTTTTTAAAGATGCTTGACAGCAAACCTCTGTTACCCTATTGAAAGGGAAATTATAATTCTGGGGGCAAAGAATGACAAACTAACACAGGAAACATCATAGCTGATTTTAGTCACTATAGCAACTTCTAGAAATAGTTTTTTTTTAAAACTATATTGAAGAATTTTTATGAAAGGTGATGGGTACCTTTGCTGCAAAATAAGATGAAAATCAGTGCTGCTCTGACTGTGCAAGAATGGAAGAGGAAGAATTTATCCTTTATGGAAAAATTCCCAAAGGAGAACAAAATTGTAGGCCTTGTGGGCTGTAAAAGCTAACCTTTATGTTATTTAACTTATGCTGTAAACTACCCAGAACTTTATATAGTTTTTGTGACGTACCTGTCATGTTTAATAAAAAATGGTATTTTTTTATCTTTTGATTAAAGGGCTTAGTCATAATATTCCAACTTTATGTAATTATCAATGCTGTATCAAATTAGTGTGTAAGTAAGTGTGATTTGATTAGAACATTATCAAGGAAGAGGTTTTATGAAATTCAGATCAAATCTCTTCTACCCTGCTGGAACAGTGTCTTTACAAAAAGAAATTTGTGGATCATCTCTTATCTTCTCCTTATTTTTCTAGAAAATGGAAGAGCATGTTTTAAATGTCTTTGGCTTCAGTTACAACAGTATAGAAAAGAATACAATTTATATATCTGACAAAAATTGAGTATCCTGAAAGTTAAAGCCAACTCCCTGTGTGAGACAAGCTAATGTTTTTTTTTGTTGTTGTTTGTTGAGCAGCATCAGTCTTCTGTACACTGGTTTGGCTACAATGCCAAGTACAAAGCTGTTAATTGTGAAGGGATTACTTTGAAGGAGTCTTTCATAATATGTAATACAAGCCTTGCTGTGATTTTCTTATTTGCAGGCATGCATTACAAATGCTTTAATTATTTCAGGCCTTTTAAAGTGAACAAATGCAGTAACATAATTAAAAGAACAGTATACTACATTACTTATTATTTTATTACATAGCAATCTTATTATGGCAAAATAGAGACATTTATGTGAATCATCTTTTTTCTTTTTTTTTCTTGTTTTTGTGAGGAATGAGTGTTTATTTGAAAGCATGCTTTTTGGTTACCTCTTCCTTTACCATATAAAAGGCAAATCCTTTTGAATCAGAATTTGGTACAAGGGCAAAGCTTCTCATGTGCCTGTGAGATTCATGAAAATAAGCATGTTTTCCATAACTTTGTTTTTCACAGGTGTTTGTCACATATTTGTTGCATATAAAGCTCAGTGATTGTTTTGACAACTTTAAATGTTCTGCAAAACTGTATAGTACTCCTGTGTGTTCATGTTTACAGGCTGTACATCTCGCCCAGGCAAGTTTCCAGATTGAGGCCTTTGGCTCCAAATTCATCCTTGACCTCACATTGAATCAGTAAGTGCACAATTTGAGGCTTTTCTCTTTCCTGCTCTTATTGTCTTTAGCTTATGGTACAAGGTCAGGTCATGTGAAATCCCCAGATCTGTAGAAAAATATGCTGTTATTCAAGTTTATTAATGCAAAATAACATTTAGCCTTTTTTAGGTGAGGTAACTGTTACCCTTGCTGACACCCATAACACACATACTTTAAATTTTATCAGTAATGATAAAATAAATTATGATAAATAGAGAGATTCCAGTACCAGTAGTGCTTGAAAAATGTGGATTTTCCTGTGCATTTTTTTATTTATTGGTGCAGATGTTATTTCAGTTGCTGAAGTCATTGTGTAGGAATATTGTAAATACTTGTATGAATGGCTTATCTTTAATGATCTGGAAAACATGCTAGTGTCACTATAATAATGAAGTTCCTAATGATGTGAGAATCCTAACAGTTTGGCTGTACTGAAAGGTACAGCTAGAGTCTGTTTACTAGCAAGACAGCCAATTTTACATAGTGGTCAGGTCTAGAAGATCTGATGTAATACAGGTCAATAGAGGTTTAGTTGTTTTTATCACATCTATTTATATCTCCAGCTGAAGGTATGGAACTACGTGTTTTTCTAAAAATTGTAATGAAGTTTTTTGCCACTGGAAGTGTACACTGAGAAAGTTTAAGAATAAGGTAGCAGCATAAATTCAGTACTAAATACTGGACAGGTAAAATTATCTACAGTATTGCTTTAGTGCATTTGCCCCTTCTGCTGCCCTTGAGCGTTTCAGCACACAAAACAAATCTACAGAAACAATTGCATACTGGTTTAAAAAACCACAATGTGTTCCTCGTCTTGAGATCCATATGAGGTCTTATTTTGGTCTTAACTGTCATGTAATGAAAGTTTTGTTAGGGAGAAAAAAGCAAGTTTATTAAATCTCTTTTCAAAGCAGCAAGCTATGGCTTTATAAAATTCACTGAACTGTTATATTTGCATATTTTGCTGCTTGGCTACTAATTATCAGATGTTTTGCTGTAAAGGTGAATTGGAAACATTTTTCCTTCACCCATGCATAATTTTGAATTTAGGATGCTCTTTCAATTCCATCTTTTAAAATGTGACACAGTCTTGAGTGGCTGGCAAAAGATGAGGTAGTATGAAGGCAGGGAATGGCACACAGAATGGAAGGCGAAAGAAGGCTTGAAGATAACTGGGTGTTCTCTAGCCTCTGGAAGAACTATAGTGTTGTGCAAGACTGTGGTGTTTTATGAGAGTTGAACCCATGTAGAGTAATGCCAATGGGGTAATCGTGACATATTTGTGAAGGGAACCTGTATCTAGTGGCCTCTAACCTACAGGGAATTTCCTCTCTTGGTCTGTTTGCACATCCAGCCAGTAGCGAGACTGAGCACACATTCCCAAGATGTCACTATACATAGGGTATGGCTGGTCACACAGACGATCACAGAGAAGAAACATTGCCTTTACTGGCACCACATATAAACACAAACAGCACTTAGGTGAGCAAGAATACAAACTGCCTGATAAAGTTCTTCTCCAGCTGATGGGAATTGGAAGTTTGCTAGTGAAACACACACACCAGCCCTCTGCTGATTCACACACATACCCGCATTCACAGGCTTAAATGTTAACACAGGCTTTAAGTTCATCAAACATTTATATCTAGGCCTGTGGTCTCTTACTTGGTCACCAGCTTAGACCTTAGGTCTTTCCAGATACAGGTATCCTCGCAGTTGTTGACTGACTTTGAAATTTGGTTTGCACATCACATCTATGCAGAATAGAGAGCAAAATTGCATAGAAAATATTACAAGTAGGACTCAATAAAAATATAGGACAGACTGTAGTGATCAGGTGCAGCGCTGGGCCAGACAAACATACTGACTTGCAGCTTATGCCTACTATGCAAATAATGACTCCTTTTTATGCCACTTCCTCTCTGTTTTCCCACTCTTGTTCCATCCTGATTCACCTTCCCTACCTTTGGCACTTCCCCTGAACAACTCATAAAAATGTTTGCACATTTCCACAAGTCCCTGTGGACTCCTATAATAAGTTTGTTCTTTCCCAGGAGACCCATGATGACATTATTTACCACTTCTTATCTGTTCTAAGGTTCTGGTTGAACCTCTTCAACATCACACCTGAGTGGCTCCTTCCATGGCCCCTTAGTCAGTGACCTAACAGAGATGATAAAGACCAGAACTCTTATCTCCTGTTCATTAGGGTTTGTGCATCTGGGTGTTTGTTGCTTTTCCTGTCCTAGTCCTTTTTGCTCAATGGCTGTTAACCAAATACCATCACAAGCCCGATAGCTTTACATTCCCCATATCCTTGCAGTGTTACATATTGTCCAGCCCTGCTGTTGGTCCTTGCTTATTTATAGCAACAAATGGTCCATAAAGAAAGTAAATATACATATTTTTTCCAACTTTGGTTGCTTTATCAGCAATCAAGAAATGCAGTGTCTTTCACTTGAAAAAGAGAGAGGGAGATCACTTGCTGTGTACCTTATGCAAAGTTGTTCTGCTCTTGGGGTATCAAGAATCTTCTTACTGGCTATATGTAAGGTGCAGGATGTTTAGGTGCTTTACTGGTATCCCAACCATTTGCCTCTTTATACATTAGGTTTTCTCTAGCTTCCTAAGTGTTTTTTGACTCATAAACATTTGGTGCTCTGTCTAGTTCTGCTCCAAAAAATAAAAACCTGTCCTACTTTTTGACCTGACATAAGACTCTCAAACTGTAAGTCATAAAACTTGTAACGTCATAAATTGTAAATACCCATAGACAATGATTTGAAAAAGACCCATTCTCTTATATTAGATTTATGTGTTCAGCAAAATGCTGCCTATGGTGCTATGTTGGATTACAATGAATTTTAGTTGGCATACTGGTATTACTAATATCTGGTCAGAAAGAAAGGGAGAACAACAACAGGGCCACAGACTTGAGCTGTTACATGCTATTGGCCAAAGTAATCTAGTTGCATGTGAAATACCCTTGATTATGTTGAATATATATTTATCAGTTATTCTAAGGTGAGTTAATGTCACCTACTCTGTGTGTGTGTATTCTGGTTTTGCTCCTGCCTTTTTTAGGAAAGTTCTTCAGGTATATAAAGCTAAAATCAGAGGATGGTGGCTGTCTACAGACAGGTTCTAGTTTTAAATTTTCTTTACCTCTGTTGGAATCTGTGTGATTGCCTACATTCTATGTTCCAGCTGCTCTTTTTCACAGCAAGTATTATAACCAGGATGTGAAGAAAATTGGATATTCACTTGCATTAATAACTGTCAAGATTTTGTAAGAGGAACAGGTGGCAATCTGAAAGTTTCTGGAGCATATTAATACAGATTTTTCCTTGATGTTTTCTATCTTGCTGTAGTGCAATGGCACAAACAGCTTGAAAGAAATATAAGCCCATCAGACCTATTGCATGCAGTGTGCAGAGACAATTCAAATGTAAGATTTGTATGGAGTTTGAATGGGTAATCAACTTTTAAGTTGCACAAGGCTTACAGGTGTTAACAGCTGAAATATAATTTGTTATCCTAAAGGTCATTGTTGGCAGCTTTTTCTGACAAGAAGACTCAGGAAAAAAAATAAGTTTTGAACTCTTTAACAAGGTGGGCTCTTCTGAATTTTCAGACATCTTGCCCCTTGTTACACTTAAATGTTTGACCAATTTCAGGCTGTCAGTGTGATGTCATTTATGACAATGCATAATAATTGCAGACGTGGATTATGGAAATAATTTGATGCAAAAGTAATATTTTTTCTAATCTGTAGTGGATTAAATAATGTTTTTTGTTAATGCTCTTTGTACAAAAATTAAAGATTATAGACTACTAGTGGGGAAAAAATGAATCCCATTTGAAAAGTTAGGCTTTTTATAATTCAACTGTGATTGCACAAACTCGATAAAGTGCCTGCGCAATATGTGTAGCATTGTCTCAGAACCCATTTTACATAAAAAGCTTTAAAAAAGTGTTAATTAATTTCAGTAAATTGCTATTTTTGTCATCAAACAATACCATCAATTAATTTGTTGTAACAATGTATTCGAGTAATCAGTGATCCCAGTATATCCGAACAATTTCTTATTTTTTCATTTATGTATTATATGCATAAACAAATGTCTGTGAGGTGCTAAAAAATTATTTTTTAATGTTCTCTTTTCCACCAACATGTAAAAGGCTTTTAAGTTGCTGTTGTTCTGTTGAAGGACAAGTGTTTCTGCAGGTAACTCTTATGTTCTGGTTAAAGATATCAGTCTTTATGTTCCCATGTAGTACTAAAACATATTAGAGAGCAATACTGCCAAAAGCAGTGAATTAAAAATGTCTACTTGCTGTTTTTTTAGTGATAAGGGGAGTTGGCTATATTGTCTGGCAGTTTTCAGCTGATGGTCTAGCACCAGTCTACAAATAGAGGAGTCTTCTCGAGTACTACGGGCTGGGGCCCTGCTAGAGCCTTCCCCCACTGGTACTATGGTGGCTGAGGCACATACAAGGAACGGGGAATTAGATACTTGAGCTGGACAGAAACAGAAGTTAAAAAACAAAGACAAAAACTTTTTTCCCTTCCTACTGAAAACTTCCCTCAAAATTTAGGATTTTGGGGAAGGAGAAGAAAATTGCCAAAATGAGCCTGTATTTTTCAGCTTTTCTTTCTTTTCCCTGTAGAATTCCATCTTTCCAAGAAAACCCATTTCCAGGAAAATAGATTTTTCTTTTCAATGAAGAGATCATATGAAAAAAATCTAGCATCTTTGTCATGAACTGAAAAAAACCCCACCACATTTGACTGCAACATGACTTAAATATTTGAGATGTTAAAATATGATGACTTGTGAGCAGTCTCTTGTATGAAGTGCAGCATTACAGCCAACATATTACAGCCAATTTTATCTATCAGTTTAAAGCTTATAACTGTTATGTAGTCTTTGTGGTATATGTTTCTGTAGGGCTGAATTTAACTTGAGAACAGTCCC